TTGACCTGTCGGGGCTGCGTTGTATGAGAGCGTCTGTGCCTTGCTTGGCTTGGCACGTCTTGAAGACTGTTATTTTGACCTCACGGGTCATTTTGGTGCGGAGCTAGACTTGTGATAATTCTGAATAGTAACTCTGGAATTTTATGAATCAAAAAGACAGCTACAAGTTGAATGTGGGAGAATGCCTCAAGGGTTCTCGTGAGTCACACGGGAAGGAGGGAGAGGAGGGCTTCATGCCACTAATAAATGTACTAATGTAACACTTGGCTTCTTTCCCCCCAGGTCCCCCTCCTGTTTGTTACAGTCCCAGGAGTCCTGTGCCGGTTCTAGAAGACCCCAGCCACTTTTTCCCAGATTTTCAGCTCTACTCTGGGAGGCATGAAGCATCTGTTCTGACAGTGGAGGCAAGCAGCGGCTTCCAGGAAAAAGTTGGTAAGTCCTTTTACTGATACTTGTGTCAGAAAAGCCAAATGACTATATGTTTTTGGTTTTTATCTCTTTTGCACAATTTTTTCTCTGTCCTCATTTTTAAAGATGAGCATGTTGGATAATTGATTGTCTCTTTGTTGATAGGTGCCTTATTTTTAATGTTTATGCTATGGTTAATAAACTACTTTAGTATGTGGCTCAACAGAGAGAGTTCCTGAGTATGTAAGAACTTCAGAATTTATTTTTTCTGCTAGGTTCTTGAAATTTACTCTTTTTTTTTTTGGCTTACTTTACTTTTTTTATAACTGAAATATAGTTGATATGCAATATTATATTGGTGGACATCAGGTGTACAACATAGTGATTCAATAGTTACACACGTTACTAAATGCTCAGCATGTTAAGTGTATTTACCACCCATCAATCTGCAAAAAGATATTGCAATATTATTGATTATATTCCCTGTGCTGTACTTTCAACCCTGTGACTAATTTATTTATAACTGGGTGTTTGTACCTCTGTCCCCATCACCTACTGCACGTGTGCCTCACCCCTGACCTTAAGAATTATTCCATTTATTCTGTAATTTTTCTCTAATTTGTAAATACTTTTTGTACTCTTTCCCAGAATCTTTCATTTCTTTTTGTGCTTCTCTGCTTTTGTTATCTCTTTTTTGCAAATTATTCCGAAGTTCAGAAGAAATTCAAAACTATGGGAGGCAGGGAACTGCCTCTTTTGTAAAAACTTCCTGCCTATTTTTGAGGGCTTTTCAGATTGGTAAAACTATGAGGGATTTTTAAAACCACTGTAGGAAAGGACCTCACAGATCTTGGCACATGTGCTTATGAAAACAGAATTCAGTAGTTTTCATGCATGATGACACCCCATTTGTTTAAGTATTCATCCAAAAAAAGAATCATTTTCCTTTGGAAATAGATTTTTATTATTATTTGAATTTCTATTCAGGTTATTTAAAATGTTTGTTTTTGTTTATTTGGATTTGTTTATCCCATTAAGCTTTTTAGATCAGTTATCTTGAGGGCAAAGACTGTATTCTCTTTAGTCTCCTACCCGCAGCCCCTGTCAGAAAGCCTGAATATACTGGCTGGCAGTCAGTATTCATAGAGTGAGTGAGTGGCTCAGTTCAGCTCACACCGATCTCTCTTGACCTGGGTTGTTATCACTTATTGCAATATTTGGCACTTCATCTTGTGTGGACTTTCAGTGATCTGTATTTACTAAGGTTTAAAATTTTTTATTGTTGAACTTGGGGTTTTTATATCAGTTACAGTATATCTTCTCTGAAGGTAAGGAATGATTTTGATTTTACTCCATGTGCAATCCTATGAGGCAGATACGAAGTCAACCCGTTTTACAGAGGAGAGAGGTTCAGAGAAGCCACATAACCTGCCTGAAGTCAGAGGTGTGATTTTGGGGATGGACAGGGAGGGTGATATGATCAGAGCTGAGTTTCAGGAACCAATCTGTAAAGTTATTATATTAGACAGTTATTCCTGGAATGCCTCTGTGTATTTTGGGAGTGTTCTAGGCACTGGGGATACAGCATGCAAATTCAACAGATAAAAACGCCTTGCCCTCTGGTGCCTGGATGCTAGCAGAGGAAGACAAATAATAAATGCAGTGTGGGTCAAAGGGAGAAGTGTCCAGGGGCTATTCAGGGCATCTGAGCAACTGCTGAGAAGAGCTGGAACCTGGGAGTGGCTGGGTGCATGGAAGCTAGGGTTTGCAGTCTTTTGCTATCACAAGGGCACTAAAAATGTCATCTACTGTCACCTTTTCTCATATTTTAATACCCAAAAGAGGAAGATGGATGTAATCCTTGATAGCCCTTGCCAAAAACAAACAGTTGTAAGCTTAATGGCATATGTCTTTGTACATATACAGGTATATGTGTGAGTTTACATAGATTTATACATCTGGTAAGCATTATCAAACCACTTTTAATTTTTCTCATTTCATTGTGGACTGAGAAAAACTAGCTTGGTGGTTGATCAAATGTGGGAAGCAAAGGAGATGGAAGGGCCAAAAGTGAATCTGAAATTTCCTTCTGGATGACTCATATGATAAGGATGCCATTTACAGAAATTAGGAATACAACCTTGAGGAAGAAAGACAGTTGTGGAAAGATGATGTGTCCTATGCATATATAAAAACAGTCATCGTTGTGTGGGATTGTAACACTGAGGCCGCTTAGCAATGATCTAGTTCATCTCCCTCAATTGACAGGGGAGGATATTGTGCTCAAAATCAAATAAGTGATTTGCTCAAACCATGCCTGGGAAATGGTAGAATTTTTGCTATTGTAATGCTGTCTGATGTCCTCAGTACACTACTTACAAGCACTATTGTGAAAGGGATAGATTTTATATTTCCTGGCACTCATGTAGGTTTACTTTTACTGGCTAAATGTTTGATTCCCCATTACATGCAGGCATAGGGTTGTATGCTAAGGAGACCAAATGAGGGCATGATCCTAGCCTTTAGGGGGGTTAGAGTCTTGTGTAAACCAAATTGCCATCAACTATGAGAGTTGCTATAATGGAGACAGATACAGACTGGGTGGAGACAGAGGAGAAGGAGGCCTCAAGCCTGTTGGGCTGCAGCCAGGAAGATTTTTCCTCAGAAGGTAGCTTTGGAGCTAACACTTGAAGCATGTCTAGGAATTTCCCAACAGGACACAGGGAGATGCATCTTTCTAGGCAGAGAGAATAATGTGAGCAAAGGCCTAGACCCTGGAGACAGCTGGCGTGTCTGGGAGCTGTACGTCCTTGGGCCTTGCTGGAGCTTCACTCCAGTGGTTGCCAGTGATGGGGGTGGTTTGGTGGTGGCATGAAGTGTTGCTGGACAGGTAAGGCAGTACCTGCTACACCATATGATAGAATGTCGGTTCCATCCTGTAATTAATTGTTGAGGACTTTTGTACAGAGGAATGATATAATCAGGCTTTCCTATGAATAGTCTTTCAGGGTCATGTGGAAGATAGGTGGAGGTCTGATGGATGGTTTGGAAGTGGGAGTGAGCCTAGTGTCATAAATAAAGAGGCCGTTGGAATTGCCTGGGTATGAGACACCAAAGGCTTGTAATTTCGTGGGATGAACACAGATTTTATTGTGGGACGAGCTGGATCCTGGCTTTGTCTCTTCCTACCCCCGTGACCTCTGTGACTTGCCTTCACTGAATCTCTCCTCATCTGTCAGATGGGGGAAATTAACATCTGCCACATACAACTATGTATGAAATAAATGAAATAACATATGGAGAGAGAATTTAGCCTAATACCTGGCACATCATATGCACTTTAAAAATGTTCTCATGGTTGTACTGTGGTTATTAATCACAATCTTGGAGTTGGCATGGGAATAAAGGAGAGGATTGGGAGAGAGGTTTGGGAGGTAGAACAGACAGTCACTGACTAGGTGTTGAGGGTACGGGAGAGGACAGAATTCTGGAAAACTCCCAGGTTTCAGGCTTTGCACTGAGTAGATGAGGCGGGATGCTGGTGTTGGAGGGGTGGGGACGTGTTGCAGGGAGGAAGACATGTCGAGCTTAAGGATTTAGGTGGTGGATAGGTGTGTGGGTCATGAGTCAGTAGTTGAAGATGATGGCGGATGTGATGACCCAGGAGATTGTGCTGAGTGAGGGTGGAAGAGCATTCAGGGTGGAGCTGTGGGAAACACGAGAATTTAAGAGCCATGTGGAGGAAAAGAAGCCAGAGAAGGGTGGCAGTGGCCGGGAAGTCGGGTGAGGAGAGCATTTCAAGAAGCAGGTGATCAACAGAGGGTAGGTGGGCAGTAGGAGAGCTGGAGAATTCTCCTTGGGCTTGGTTATTCGTCTGAGCAGTAGGGAAGGCAGTGGGCAGAGCGTTTGGGAGGTGCAGACAGAAAGTGTAGAGGGCTTACTGAGGACCCTTAGAAGAGAAGGGGAGGGGAGGTGTACAGCAGCAGTTAGAGGCCTAGGATAGGGCCAGGAAGAGGTGGTTTCTTTTTGTTTGAGTTTTGGCTTTCTTTTTTAATGGAAATTATTTTTTAATGGAAGTCATAGCATATTTATACGAGGAAGAGAAGGGGCCAGTGGGGAGAGGAAGGGAGAGGGAAAGGGTGAGATCCTGGAGGAAGCAGGAGATGAGGGAATAGCAGAGACACTTAAAATCAGAGAAATCGTTCCATGAAAAACTGCAAGGTAAACGGGGGTGGTGGCACATTTGAAATCTTGTCTTTAAATGCTGCTGTAGTTAGAATGTCCGTTATTCACCATGAATGTACAGACCTGTATTCCTGCGGAACAGCCTGATGTATTTCCTCTTATGTTTATCTTTTAGCTGAGGATCCTCTTTGTAACTTCCACTCCCCGAGCTTCCTGAGGGTCTCAGAGGTGGAAATGAGAGGTTCCGAGGATGCGGCAGCTGGAACAGTATTGCAGCGGCTGATCCAGGAACAACTGCGGTATGGCACCCCGACCGAGAACATGAACTTGCTGGCCATTCAGCACCAGGCCACAGGGAGTGCAGGACCAGCCCACCCTACAAACAACTTTTCTTCCACGGAAAACCTCACTCAAGAAGACCCACAAATGGTCTACCAGTCGGCACGCCAGGAACCGCAGGGTCAAGAACACCAGGTGGACAACACGGTGATGGAGAAACAGGTCCGGGCGGCGCAGCCCCAGCAGAACAACGAGGAACTGCCCACGTACGAGGAGGCCAAGGCGCAGTCTCAGTTCTTCAGGGGCCAGCAGCCGCAGCAGCCGCAGCAGCCGGGGGCCGGGGGCCACGGTCACTACATGGCCGGGGGCGCCAGTCAGAAGTCGCGGACCGAGGGGAGGCCCACGGTGAGCCGTGCCAATAGTGGACAGGCGCACAAAGACGAGGCGCTCAAGGAACTGAAACAGGGCCACGTCCGCTCTCTCAGCGAGAGAATCATGCAGCTGTCACTGGAGCGGAATGGTGCCAAGCAGCACCTCCCCGGCTCAGGGAATGGAAAGGGGTTCAAGGCAGGAGGGGGACCCTGCCCAGCCCAGCCTGCAGGCAAAGTGCTGGACCCCCGGGGTCCTCCACCCGAGTACCCCTTCAAGACCAAGCAAATGATGTCCCCAGTCAGCAAAACCCAGGAGCACGGACTTTTCTACAGCGACCAGCACCCTGGGATGCTCCACGAGATGGTCAAGCCTTACCCTGCCCCTCAGCCTGCGAGAACGGAAGTGGCCGTCCTGAGGTACCAGCCGCCCCCAGAGTATGGGGTAACAAGGTGATTACCAAGCCTGGAGGCTTAACTCGGCTTTTCAAAATACAGCGGTCGTGTTTCTAGCACTTGTTTTCAAGGCATTAGGTTTTTGTCACTGGGTTTTTCTTCTCATGCATAATATTTAATAAGCTGACTTTGGGCCAACATATGTTGAGTGAAACAGAACAGAGAGCAGTTAGGGATTTCTGAGTGTAGGGTAGGCGTCTCTGCTGTCGGCTGTCCCCGGGGGCTCTGCCTCCCTGCCAGGCAAAGTAGCAGTTTTCTTGGCTGGCTTTGTGGAGAGTGTCCAAACTCCTGGAACCTATTATTACTCTGGGGTTTTATGGAGTCTTCCTTCATTGTAGATTTTAAAGGAAAATGTAGTCTGGATGCTTGAACAGAGAAATCATATAATCCCATCCCCTTATTTAACAGATGAGAGATTGAAGCCTGGAGAGATAGTAATATGTTTCCACAAGTACATACGTCTGCGGCAGCTGGAGCTAGGCTCAGTCAGGTACCCTTGCAAAATCTCCTCCCTCCAATGACCAGCTCCTCTCCCAAATGACTGACGGAGGTGAGTCAGCACTTACCGATGGGTGTCTGTGCAGCCTTGTAGCAGGTTCAGGGCCATGGACGGGGCTTCCAGGACCTGACAGCACTGTCTCGGGGGAAACCTGCATCTGAGCAGGTCATTGTGGAGCAGCCTGCTGTAGGATGAGAACATGCTAGGGAGAGGATGGCACAACTCACAACCGACGGAACTGGGGATACTGTCCCAGAGGAGGGGACATTTGAGCTGGGCCTTGAAGTATGAGTAAGAGTTGTAGGGCAGATGAAGTAGCAGGAGGTCCATGCAGGGGGTGCACCATTTTCTCAGATGAAAAAGTGAGGTTTTGTCTAGAATGAGCTGCAGTGTGGTAAGAGGTGGCAGAAGATGGCTTTGGACAGGGAAGTTGAGACCTGTTGGTGAAGATCTTTGAGAGTCATGCTAAGGAGTTTAGAAATTTTCCAAAGCAGTCGAGGAAAACCAGTGTTTCTAAGTAGAGACGGTGTTGGTATGTAACAGGTTGAGTTCAGTGAAGGATGAAGTAGAGGAAGGGGGGATTGGAGGCCATCTGGACCTTCAGAGACAGTTTCAATAGTCTACATAAGAAGTAGTGAGCATGACCTAGGTTTGAGGCCATAGGTATGGGGGAGTGTTGTATGCCCAGAGAGGCAGAGAAATAAAATTGACAGGATTCAATGATTGATTAGATGCAGAAGTTAAGGAACAACTGAAATCAACTTCTCAAGAGAGAAATTGGGTCTGAAAATGCAAATTCGGGAAGTACTAGTGTTTAGATGTTGCCGAGTGTGCTTAGGGAGAGCATGGAGCATGAGAATAGAAGACAAGGGGCCACTGCCTATTATTGGATATGTTTTCATTCTCACAAATGGCTTTAATTTTGTGTTTCTAATTTGACTGACTCTTGGGACCCCAGTGTCTGCATGCAGGGAATAACTTGGCTGTACATCCTCTGAAAAGGGAGTGACTGGGCCTTGGCAGAGAGGGCACCGACTGACCTGCCACTTGCTGCCCAGCCACTGGCACATTTCCCTGCTTTAGTTTGGGGTGCCAGCTGTGGTGCAGTGCGCCCACTCACACCGCTGGTGGCCGGCAGAGCTCAGTGTTCCTAAGGCTGACACTTCCCCTGGTGAACCCAGGAGGAGGTCTGGTGGGCTCTTCTTGTTACCCTCATATAGTTCCATAAGCCAAAGGAGAGATTTAAACCTAAAAACTATGAGGCTTGAAGAGGAAAGAGAAGTCCGCATGTCTATGGTTTGTGCATCGCATTGATTTGCCAGAGTTGTTTTAAATAATCCATCATGTTTATAACCCAGAATCATGTCAGAGTTTGGTTTGTGATATTTCACCATTTTTCCTAAATATAACTCGGCCTCTAGAGCTTGATAGGAGGTGAAAATATCCCCCAGGGAAGTTTCCTTCCTTCTCTCTGGCTTTACTGTTTGTTGAACAGCAATGCAGAAGGTGGATCCTTTTCTTTTCTTCACTTGGCAGCAGGTGTGCTGTGAGGTGGGAGGCATGATGAGGGAAGGATGGAAGCGCTTCTTGGATGTCTACCCAGTTTTTTGTGGGAAGTGCCATTTGTCTCAAAGTTGTGACGTCAAAAAAAAAAAGGAAGAAATGTATGAGGGATTTGAGCTGACTGCCAGTCTTGGCAGCTAGATTGACATGACACATCAGAATGTCCCAAAAGACGTAACAGACAGGCTATTGAGACTGGGCCGCAGAGCTACAAGGCCCCTTTGTGCGCCTGGCCGCAGCTCGCCAGCACGACTCCAGCAAGCACAGCCCTTGGCTGGCAGAGTGAACCAAGTTGCCTCTGAATCAGCGTGGCTTCAGACTCATTCAGCGTGTCCTGAGCTCCAGAAGTTGAGTTTGAAACAGTGTGTGTGGTCAAATTCTCTTTGACCCAGGAGATGAGCAGGGATCCTTTTAAATTCACTGACCTCTTCTCTTGTGTTCCAAGGTTATCTGTCTGTTATGAACAGTGATGGTTTAGGAAGCTGCAGGCTGTTGGCTCAGTACATCCTAGACTCCTGGACCAAGGAGGAGAGGCCTCTGACCAAGATCACTGCAGTAAAATGTGCTCAGTATGTTGTGAATATTCGGTGGTTTGGGCCAACCTGTTAATTTGTTGAGACTTCACTACTTCTTGCCATGAGACAGAAAGGTCCAAAGAGACAGGCGAGACAGGGCCCAGAGCTTGTGAGAAGAGGAGTAAGAACTTGAAGTTCTTGTGTTCGTTACTGACTCATCCTGGCTCACACATTCTCCTCCCTGACCTGATCTGCTGAAGATGGAGAGGTGTGCTGGGTTACAGTAAAGCACCTGAGGCTCCTTTCCTGGGCGACCCCGTGGAGAGGCCACAGTCAAGGCCCAGTTCACTAGCACCGCCTTGGCCCTTACTGTGGGTGAGCTGCTGAGGCTGCCAGAGACTAAGGCAGCCATCTCCTACCTGAAGTGGCTGATGGGCACCTTAGCCAGCCTGGGTTTTGTTCCTGCCCCGTCATCCTTTTCCTTCAGCGTGAAAATGGAAATGGATGTAGATGAGGACGAGGTGAGAATTGGACAGGGTGTTGTGCAGAATTGTGCTTTAAAAAAAAAAAAAGCATTTGGCTGTTAATTCTGACTTGCTTTGTGGAAACAAAGCACTTGCATAAGTAGTGACTTGGCTTCTTTAGCCTGTACTGTTAATGGAAGTAAACGCGTGGCTGAATACCACTGGGCAGCCTGATGCGTATCAAAGCAGTTTGGAGTACATTAGTCAAATGCTTGTTTGTTTCCCAAAGAAATCTGTCCATGTTTACAAAAATGGAAACTAAAGATGCTAAAAAATCACTTTAAAATATCCAACTTTCTTAAGACAACCATTGTTAACATGTTTCCTATGCAAGATTTTTTTTCATATATTCTATTTAATTACTGATAGTCTATGAAGTTCTAAGGATAGAGTCAAATCTAATACAGTCTAATCATAGATTATATTCAGTGTATTACCTTAGCTTTTTAAAGATCATATTGTATCACAAACTTTTTTTGACATTGTTTTCCTAAACATCCTTTTTATTGCTGTATGATATTTTATAACATGTGATTTAGATCATTTTCTTTTAAATGATGTAGTAAACATCATCAAGCATGTCAAATTTTCCATAGTTTTGATTTACTTCATTAGGAATCAGTATTTAGAAATGAAATTATTGGGTATATTGCAGTGAACATTTCATGATTTCTGATACCAGGTAACTTTGTAAAAATATTACACTGCCTTTTTCACTGCATTTTGATCAAAACATAGTCAGAATAAGTACACAAACTTTGCTGATTTAATAGACAAATAGTATTAACTTCTTATTTTAATTTGCAAATAAAAGGTAGGTTATTTTTGGTGGGTATGTTTTATGAGTTGGATTTACTTGATCTTGAAAACTGATTCTTTGTGTTTTTTTGTTATATGATCTATGTATCTTAATGGATTCAGGGTAAACGAAAATCTATTTTCTCTAACCCTTATTCTGATATTCCAGTTTCTACAACTCCATCTCCACCCTTAGCAGGTAACAGTGGAGCAGAGGTGGTGGTGGTAACAGTAGGGCTAATAAGCCATTTTGTGCCTACTTGTGTTCTGGATACTTGGTGTGGGTTATTCTCCTTAATCTTCTGAGTAGTTGTAAGGGGTGGGTACTATTAATATCCTCATTTTATGGTATGATAACGACTTAGGCTTAGAGAGAGAGGTTATAGTAGCTTAGTCACAGGTACCAGCCTGAAAGTACAGGAGCTGGTTTGTACACCTGGACCTCTGCCCAATGCTATATCTCCCGTGAGTGTCAACACTTGACCGCAGCATGTTGCAGTGGAAGCAGAGATTTGAGTTTTTATTTTGCATTACTTACTTTTGCATTACTGAATTTCTAATCAGATCTATATGTCACACCTGATGTCCAGTTCATGCTTGCCTGCCTGGTTTTTAAAGGAGGACCAGATACTGGTGAAGTATTCCAGGCTCCAGGAGGAAGGTGCCCTGGGCCCCCTTTCTCTCCAGATTATCTTGGAAAACTTAGGAGCAGACTTAACCTGGCTGATTGTGTGAGCTCTAGCCTGTCTCTCTGGTGCTTTCATTTGGAGGTAGGGGCTAGGACATGCCAGTTTGTCTTTTCCTGTGTTTAGCAGAATGTGTCTGTTATGGAAGATGATAAGTCCTGTTTAAATGACTAATTTTTACATTTCAGGCAGTATCAGTTTGGAAAAAGACTAACTCCTGTCAGTGAAAAGAACCCTCTCTTTCCACCTGCCTATTGCCTTTTTTGCCCTTTATCTTGGCTAAATCTTCCCTGCTTAGTATAGAGGGCTTGATGTACTAGCTTCCCAGGAGCAGAGAGAAGAGTGGTATCTGCCCATTAATTTTATATTCATCTATGAATGGATTAACTTGATTTTTAGTATGTAGATAGAC